GATTCAGATCAACGGAATATGCCATAATTATTCATTCTCTCTCTTTTATAGTAGATGATTTATTATTAGCAAGCTACAAAGATTTACAGTCAGTCAAAAGCGTCACTACTTACTGATGGAAAGCAGGAACGTAGGTGTATACTGCACTACTGCTTAAGTTATAGATGAATGGTAAGTGTTTGCCAATATCTGCTGTTGCCCAGTTGCTGAAGAAGCTATTCAACAAGCCTTGATCACCCCCTACAGAATATATAAAATAGTATTACCATAATGTATAATTATATTTGAATTTATGTCAAAATGTCATGTACAAGGATGCAAATTATACTGGGGCATTCATGGGAGTGCAACTTGGACTTAACAGTATGGCTGGATGAGCAGGTACAAGTAATACCTGATCCACTTCAATGCAATTTCAGTTTAAGTGGAGTCCTACTATAACTTATGAAGAAAGAAGTAAGAAGGGGTTTTTGTCTCCCTCAGAGCAGATCAGCTGTATTTCTTTATCCTAAAAGACAGCAAAATTAAAACTTACTGAGCAAGACTCGGACTCTCTTCGTTGTACTTTTCTGGGAATTGCAGCCTGCAATAATTCAGTGAGTCTTAAATACTGTGTAAGACGAAAAGATCTGCACTATAAATTTTTGTAGGGGCTCAATTACTTAAAGCCCAGAGAACTCCTGCCTTCCTCTGTTCTGTCAGACTGCATGGAAATTATGGAGGAAATGGCTCAAAGAAACTGAATCTAGTTTCTTGCATTTCATCTCTTACCATCAAAGCTGCCATGTTCAGCAGCAAACTGGAGCAGCAAGTTGTAAGTTTTTAAAGAAGGTCGGAAGACAAATACACCACTATTAAAGCAGTCCGGCCAGCCAGAATCAGGAGCTGCTGAAAACTCTTCTCGATCAAACAATTCATCAACATTGCAAAGCACCTTGGAGAATGTAGGAGAAAAGGTAAATTGTTACAAAAGGTGTTTTTCTGGAACATGAGTAGCTACATCATTACTACCAAATTCAATTCTTAGTTTGACCAAGCTTGCAGAACATGAAAGCAGGCAAACATGCCAAGGTTCATAACTTTTTTAATGTAATTAAGTAACTTTAACTGTGGTTCTCCTTGACTTCTCTGACAGAAGTGCAAATCCCATGAAATTATTTCATGAGTGTCAGAGATCCTTCAAAAGGTCAAAAGGTTCCTTTAAATATCCTATCGTGAAAGTTTCCTTATTTCTAAGCTCATTTTCTCAAAGTCCATTATTCTCAGTATCCACAACAAAGCCAAGAATCCAAATAATTTGATTTAGCAGCAGACTGGCTAAAGACTGAAACAGAACAACTGTCTCTTGTAACTGTTTTTCTAAAGTAAGTTAAGCTCAGAGTCTTGCTTTGGGTTGGTTTTAGAGCTTCACAGTGAAACAGGAAAAATCAATCAGATTGAGCCAGATCACTTATAAAATCAGTGGAAAGATGACTGTGCAACCACTAGAAGTCTGTACCCCACTCATAATGACTGTAAATGGAGAAGCTACAAAATAGGAGGGTAAATCTTCTTAGAAGAAAGATCATCTCATTGACTTAAACAAAAAAACCAGGACAAACAAACAAACACCACAGCCAAATACTCGCCTTTTTCAATTTTAAATCATAAACTCTTCCCCTCGCTCTCTGAGAGGAATGATTTGGTTTCTAATACAAATACAATCCTATTAAATCAAAACGCATCCCACTCTCTAAGAATGAAACTCTTAACTGCTGCAGAGAAAGGTTGACATGACTGTCCTTGTCAAAATTACAGCTTGTTTTTTTTTCGATCTCCATACATCAGATAATGTTTTGTTTTCCTCTCCTTTTTATAACTTGCCAGCCTTCCTGACCAGAGTAATTCCAAGCAGAATTTGACAGAGAACTATTTTCAACATCTGTCAGAAGCCAATTTGCATACAATGTGTTCATGATATCTTTTGAGGACAGTCTGGAAGCTACTCTCGAAACAGGATCCACTTCTCTGCAGGCAGCCAAGCTGTCAGTCAAAATATCCAGCTGGAGCCTCTGCAGCCTTATGACCCCCAGCAAATACAGTCACTTGCTAGGCCACTGGGTTGCAAGATGAGGAAGCACACACTCAGAGTACGTCTAAGACAGACACAAACCACACCACAGCTCTGGGGAGCACTACTCACCAAGGTATCTGCATCCATGAAGACACATTTGCTATAATGAGTAAGAGTCCAGCAGTGAAGTTTAGTGAAGGTTACACCCAGTTCTGGCCTCTGCAACAGAGCCAAACGGACCGAGTCAGCACTGTCAAGTGCATCCACCTCAGTGACTTCATCAAACACGCTGCGCAGGACAGACCTACCAGAGCAAACAGTGGAGAGAAAGAAGGGAACTTATTGAGGTTCACCACTTTTTTCATGAAAACACTGACACAGCTTTTATTGTGACAGTAACAAAGGTTAGACTGATGCTTAGAATAACACCGGGCTGTAAGCCACTGCTTCTTTCAGTAAGGGGCCAACCCATCTCAAAACCTGAAGGTACTGTACAGAGGAGAAATCAACCCACACCTTAATTACTTAGTCTACTATAGAAACACTGACAGAAATTAAAGGAGCTTTCATTTCTTCACAATTGTGACAGCACCATACCATACATACCGTACTATCTCTACATCGTACAGGATGTGGCAGGTACTGTCTCTTTGCACCTGTTGTGCCAGAGCAAAAACAGCCTTTAAAACCGACAGCACATACTTGCACAGAGAAAAGAAGTCTTCTTAGAATCACAGAATGGCCAGGGTTGGAAGGGACCTCAAGGATCATGAATCTCCAACCCCCCGCCACATGCAGGGCCACAAACATCCTCATTTAATACTAGACCAGGTTGTTCAGGGCCCCATCCAACCTGGCCTTGAACACCTCCAGGGACGGGGCATCCACAACCTCTCTGGGCAGCCTGTTCCAGCACCTCACCACTCTCTCTGTAAAGAACTTCCCCCTGACACCCAACCTAAATCTTCCCTCCTTCAACTTAAAACCATTTCCCCTTGTCCTGCTGTTATCTACCCTTTCAAAGAGTTGATTCCCTTCCTGTTTGTAGGCTCCCTTTAGGTATTGAAATGCTGCAGTGAGGTCACCAGCAGCTTTCTTTTCTCCAGGCTGAACAAGCCCAGCTCCCTCAGCCTGTCACAGAATCACAGATCACAGAATCACAGAATCACCTGGGTTGGAAGGGACCTCAAGGATCATGTAGTTCCAACCCCCCTGCCTAGCAGGGCCACCAAACACACACAATCAGATCAGGTTGCCCAGGACCCCGTCCAACCTGGCCTTAAACACATCCAAGGACGGGGCATCCACAACCTCCCTGGGCAGCCCGTTCGATACCCTGTCTTCATAGGGGAGGTGCTCCAGTCCCTTGAAGTCTAATTTGAGATTATTTGTAGTAGTGAGCATCTCTTCCACACAAATTTAATAGAGGATATCAAAGGAGATAATATTCCCACAAGGTACAAGAAGAAAATGCTTTTAAACACAGTTTATTTATATTACACTATCAACTACAAACTCCTAGCTGTCACTCAAACACAGAAGAAGAAAAGCCTGTGCTTATTATCTAGATTTCAAAGTCACTACATTTTGCTTGACTGATATATGAGGGGCAGAAGTTAACTGTCAAAGTATTAAATATAGGTACAGAAGCTTAATTCAGAGACAAATGTTTTCAAGTGCTAACCTTGCCTAAAAAAAACAGCTTTTCCCCCCCCATAAAGAGAGGAAAGAGGGGAAAAAAAAAAAAGAAGAGAAAAAGAAAATATACTTTTGTTAAGAATACTTCATAATTATAAAAATCATTATTAAATAAAAAAAAAAAAAAAAAAAAAAAAGGAAAATATGTTTCTTGAGACAGATGTATTGTTAACAATTTTGCACATCATATAGAAGCTGGGAGCTTGCACACTTCCTAATCCACAGCAGAACTAAGAGCACAAGCAATTACGGCATGTCATCTTCTTTTTAATTAAACAAGCTCAGTTCTCCAAACATCAGGGCTAAAGTTCAACTGAGATTTCTATACACACAATTCTGCCATGCTTGTAGAATTACAATGATTTTTAAAAAGAGGGAGAAGGGTATTTCTCATCATCACGCGGAAGACATCTGAAGTTGAGCCACTGATGTCTTGGAGAGTTCTAATGTCGTGGCTGGTAGATATCTTGCTCCTTCTAAATGAGAAGCAATTAGAGAAGGAAAAAGAAGAAAAAAAAAAAAAAGCAAGACAGTAAAACTCTAGTTTTTTATAAATTTTCAGTTGGTGTTCCCAATTATGGGCTCAAGTATCAGCTTCCATCCACAAGCTCTGCTTTTGCAAGTAAACACTTATTAGGCACACAGCCTTACCCTGGATGTGATTTGGGACTCCCCTCAGAAACCATTAGCCATTAGGGAATTTCTACTCATAATGCTGTGAAATCCTAAGAAACCCATTAAAATCTTTTATGTTATTATTTTCCCATATTGTGAGCCTTCAAAAGCACACAAATTCTTACCTCATTCCACTGGAGACCTCTGGTGTGATCAGTACTGCTAGTTTTCTAGATGTTGTATGGTTCCTCAATGACTGTCCAAGAACCAGAGCTCCTTGGCAATACACATCATCAGTAGCAAGAGTCACAAAGGCCTGATCCGTTACTGTGAATAAAAATTTAGAAGAGTCACTTTACAGATTTAACGTAAGCTCTTTTGGCAGGTTCCTACAATCTCCCTCCTCCAGCTAGCCATTAGGCTACAGCTTATAACAACCTGCAGCTCCTGCGATAGGCCTCTCTCTTTTCCAAACTCCCCCAAAGGACAAAACTGAATAGAAAAATCCAGTAAATATGATTGCAGAATCTATGCCTCTGGATGCTGTTATTTTTGTGTCATTCGCATAATATCATGAAGTTTTCAGAGTAGCTTTAAACAAGTAACTCCCTAAGTCACATCTGCCTAAACTTACTGGCAATTTGAAAGAGCTGATCTATAAGTATTTAGACTGTACATTTATTTCACATAATATGTAACACAACTGATTATTTTTTCCTTTCTGTTTATACAGTGCCAAAAGCTAAGGGAAAAAAACACAGGATGTAAAGTAGTAAGCAGAAATATCCTTCTTTCCATGACCTCACTGAATAAACATTTAGGAACATTTTTGCTTTATCCAATTTGTAATGGAGTACCTGGCTGAACAACTGGTATCTACCAACATGCATGGAGAAAGTGATGTTAGGGTTGGCATCCCTTACCAAAAGCTAAGGATCCTTAGCTTAAGTAACTTAAAAAAAAGTTCTTCAGAATCAGTAAGCATTTGGAAGAAAAGAGTCACTCTAAATAAAGAAGGAAAACTACACTGTAGCACGACATCAGATAGTGTGTTCTGTAGGGATACCAGGCATCTGGCAGTACCACTACCTTCTGCTCTTCAGTTCTGTCCTCCAACAGAGCCACCCTTACTGTATTTCTGGGGTGAGCTACTCAACTCACAACTCAAACGTTGTGAGGTGAACGGCATCTCTCAGAGCTGAAGGAATAGCTCAGCTGCAAAATTAACCAGAACTAAGCAATGGGGTCACACAGGATGAGGAGAATTCCAGTGAGCTCAACAGAGCTTCCGTGTTTGTGTTGAGCTACTTGTAGAAAACCACCACCACTTCAAGGGACACACAGTGATACTAAATTCATTATTATATAACAACACCAAAACACCATGTCACTCAGTTTCCAGGCTCTATGAGAGACGCTGTGAAAGAATCTCACTGAACCAGTGGCAGAGAGCCCAATGAATGACCTCATGACTGCCTCAGAAACAGGCTGCCAAAATGAGCGAGTTGAAACCTCTAACATAATACAGCATAACATTAAGGTATGCAATGAAGTATGCTTGGTGCCTGTGATAAACCCTTAGATACTAAGCATTTCCATTTTCCACATCATCCATATCCAGAAGGAAACACAGACCTGCTGGCATGCTGACCTCTCCCTCTGCTTCTTTTCTGCCACTCACTCATCTCCAGCCAGACCCTGAACTCAGCACTACAGTTTTATACTACCACATGTCCCTGTGACTCGGGACAATCTCAGTAACACAGAATCATAGGGGTCTGAAGAGGCCTCTGGAGATTATCTGGTCCAACTCCTAGCTAAAGCAGGTTATGAATAGCAGGTTGCAAAGGAAAGCATCCAGGTGGGTCATGAATACCTCCAGAGAAAGACTCCACAGCCTCTCGGGCAGCCTGTTCCACTGCTCTGTCGCCCTCACAGTAAAGGTCTTCCTTATATTCATACAGAAATTCCTACGTTCCAGTTTGTGTTAATTGCCTGCTGTTCTGTTGCTGGGCACTGCTGAAAAGAGCCTGGTCCCATCCATTTGCCTCCTGCACTTTAGATATTTACGAGCATTCATAAGATCATCCCTCAGCCTTCTGCTCTCCAGACTGAACAGCCCCAGGTCTCTCAGCCTTTCCTCATAAGGGAGATGCCCCAGGCCCCTAATTATCTTTATAGCGCTCTGCCAGACTCTCAAGTTCCTGTCGTTCTTGAACCAAGGAGCTCAGAACTGGACACAGAACTCCAGCTGTGGCCTCACCAGGGCAGAGTAGATAGGGAGGATCAGCTCCCTCATCCAGCTGGCCATTCTCTTTTCAATAGCAGGAAACCTAGTCTGAACACTCAACCATTCATTAAAACAAAAAAGTTTGCAGATCTTTCAGCTAAACAAATTCCAATAACCGTTTTAATTACAATTCTGAGAAGATGCAAATAAAGTAAAAAGGAGCTTTTGCTGTGGAAACATCTGCATCTCCCGTTAGCACAACAGCTCGAGCAAGTTGTGGAAGTTCAGAAAATGAACAGGAGGTGCTCACAGGGAGTGGTTTGTAAGGAAAGTTGTTCACATTAGCTGTTCCTACTGCAGTTTTCCAAGAGATTAATCAAATACAAGCATGCATTAAAAATAAATACTGCTCCCACACACCCCCCAAAGAAGGGGGAAAAGCCACACACATACACAAATACATAAAACCCAAAGGTCACCCAAGCAATAAAATTATTCTCAAAAGGCACCGAGACTCAGCAAAGAAAGATGCTTTTGTGTTGGGCAACAAGCATCTCCAGCCAAAAATAAATAAATAAATAAAAAGGTAATAAAACAACTACTGAGAGGAAGGCGGGGGGTAGGCTAGTACAGAAAGCAAACTGTGAAACCAGTAGGTGTTTAAATCTTCAGACACTATTTTAAATAACAACCATAAAACCGAGCACAAACTCCTTATTGCCTCTGCAAATTCTTTTCGCTACAGAAACCAAATATTTGCATAAATAGCCCATCCAGAACTACACAGGCTACTCAAGGAACAGCTCAGCAGGTTGGCATGGCAAGTTACACATGCTTTCCTGCTCAGTCCTTCTTGGAGCAAAGCTGTGGTCAGAACTACAAGGAAGCAAACAGCTTCTAAGAGCTCTGGCTAATACTTACCAAGGAAAAGAAACCAATCGCCTCTTCTGAGAATCTGCTGTAGGACACATACTATGGTCCTCTTAATACAGGAAACCATTATAAAGTTAGTTAAACAGGCAGTCAAACTACCGACTGAAACAAAGCAACATTAAAACATTACTGATGCAACAAGAAGCATATGCTTGCTGTTTTGAAATCATGCAGAAGTATCAGTTAAAATCAAAAGATTCTATCATTACGTCTTTTTTCATCTCATACCATGCTTTCAAGGGACAGAAGCGTTACTTGAATTTCCTTGTTTAGAACATTCCTCGAAACTGCCCCTGTAAAAATTTTATTTCTAAAAAGTCAAAACTACAGATCAGATTTTCATACCAAGCTGTGTAAGCAAACTCTTCACCTGAAATCTCCATTTAAATTAAATCAAGGGCAACGTTGCATAAAATTTAATGTACTGAGAGACTCACCACTGATGTCAAGTTGCAAAAGCAGCAATATTTGACCTATCAAGTTTGAAGGCCGGGGTGGGGGTATTTAAAATTCATTGTGACTATACATATGCATATATATGTTTTTTTTCACTGCCAAGTGCAACTTTGCTTTCAGCTCTTTGTGCTGGATTACACCAGGCTTTCTCACAGGAAATACCTAGTGTGAACAGCATTATGTTTTCAAGCAAATTGTTTTCAAGCTGTGGAGCCCTACGGCGACTCTGTGAATTACAAGAAAAGTCTGTGTGCAATCAGAAGCACATTATAACTATGTTGTATGAATGTCTCAGTCTGCTCACTTCTCTTGCCTAGATTACCACGCAGCAACCTGGAGATGCAAATTTAGAAATCGCTGTTGGCACTGCAATAGTTTCTCAGAACAGGTCAGACTTTCAAGCAAATTACTTTTCCCATCTTCTCTGTGCTGCTATCAAAGCTGCAGAGTGGCCTGTAAAAATCAATCACCAAAGTTATATGAACCGCAATAGGCTGGGTGATTTTGTGTGAAACTTGTTACAGCTTTTTAGTTGACAGCACCAACTTCTTATGCTACTTACTCACAGCAGTACTTCAGACAGAGCTGCCAGAGGCAATATTCTTAAACAGACCTGAAAACCAGTTCTAGGGCTGCATAAAAACCTTGGAATCCACACCAGCATGCAGATTGAGCAGTGCTCCCTTTGATGGTCAGGGTAAAAGGGAGACAGAGAATGATCAAACACCAATGAGATGTAGGAGTGACTCAGTAATAAGCACTAAATGAAACACGTACACCTACCAGCTTCAAACCAAGTTTCATAATCCAATTGACACAGCTTTGTAAACATATTTCTGTCTCCTGATAGAGAAATGTCAGATGTGCCCTAGCAGTTGCTCCTAGAGTAACAACTTCAGTTTGCCAAGTTGCCCACTCTGCAACTGCAATAACTGCAATGGGAGCCAGAGACTCATATACTACAGCTTTCCTACAAAACTACTCTAAATAACACAATGCTATCTTAAGAAGGGTACATAAAATAGCTAAACATCCCCAATAGGCTGATTATGTTCCGAGTGTTCTGCCTGGCAAACTAACATTGGCTCAATGTTTTCCCATATTCCTCGCTGATACTATCTGCTGTTCTCATCGTACTTTCCCCTTCTGTTGCAGCTGCCATCTGTGAAGGGCAGGCACACTACAGCCTGGGCCAGGCCTTTTTTGTGAAGGTGCATTAGACTGCTGCAATGATAAAGTAAGTCACAGAATCACAGAACCATATGGAGTGGAAGGGTCTCCAAGAGATCAAGTCTAAGCACCTGCTAAAGCAGATTCCTTACAGTAGGCTGCATGGGAAAGTGTTCAGGTAGATCTCACATCTCTGCAGAGGAGATTCCACAACCCCTCTGGGCAGCCTGTTCCAGGGTACTGTCACCCTCACTGTAAATAAGTTTTCTTCATGTTTGTAGGAAACTTCCTATGTTCCAGTTTGTGCCCACTGCCCCTTGTTTTATTACTGCACGTGCCACTGAAGCCTGACCCCATCCATTTGACTCTGATCTTATATTGATACAAGTATTTATATTTATTGGTGTTGATTGGAACACTCCTCAGCCAATCTCTTCTCCAGGCTGAAAAGCCCCATTGCTCATGCAGAAACTCCAGGCCCCTAGTAATCTTTGCAACCCTCCACCAGACTCTCTAGAAGTGCCCTGTCTTTCTTGAACTGAGCAGCCCAGAACTGGGCACAGTACTGCAGATGCAGTCTCACCAGGGCCAGGTAGAGGTGGAGAATCACCTCCCTCGACCTGCTGGTCACGTTCTTGTTGGTCACAAGTTTCCTGACCTCTGACTTAGCATTAATCACTAGAGGGATGTGGAACAGGACGCTCTGCTCCAGCGGCACCCAGGACTACAGAAGCAGTCAGGATGGATTTTGTTACAAGAAGCAGAACAAGTAAAGATGAAAACAGCTACATAAACCACCATCAGAAATTGTTACGCAGATTTTCAGCAAATAGGCAGTTCTCCCTATAGTAATCACAAGAGCTGGCAGTATTAATTCCCATGCTTCCCTGGTCTAGGTCCAAGAGAGGAAACATTGACAATGAGTTTTATGCTGGCACTGCCAACACCTCCACAGAGAATACAAATCAACGTCTGACATCATGCAGTGTTTCTCATGGTCTAATGAAGTTCTGCCTGATCCAAACACAGGTTCTCTACCCCCATTACTAAAGCAGCACTGAATGTCACCAGGCAGGATTAGGACTCATGGGGACAGGTGACAGCGAGGACTTCTCTCTCATTTTGTGCAGACATTATTAAGTATCATCCAGTTAGGAACAGTTACATCCTGCGTCAATACCCTGCAATCCTGTTACTCAGGAGACACCAAGCAATCTCCGTGAAAAACCAAATGCAACAATATTATGATACACAGATGAGTAACATAAAAAGAGTAACACCCCGTTTTGAGGAAAAAAAGAATACTGAACTAGGAACACAGCAGTCGGCAGGACAAGGCAGAGGACTTCGTAGCTCGTGCCGTTAAACACCTTCAGTTTCCTCACTCCTCGCAAAACAACTTTTAAAACAACTTTGCAACAGAGTCCCCTTCTGTGTGCCCCTGCCCCTCGGGAAGCCCCAGGCGGGCCGAGCCCGGCCGAGCAGCACGCGGGCCGGCAGCAGGCGCCCACCCCTCGGGCCCTTTCCTCCCACCAGCCAGATGGCTCCAACCCTAATCCGGAGCCGCTAATCGCAGCGCGGCCTGCCGCTGGCAGCGCGCTCCGCCGTCGGGGCGAGCCGTACGAGGAGCCCGCAGAGCCCGGAGCGCCGCGCGGTGCAGCGGGGAGCCGGGGGCGAGCGGGCGCAGCGAGGGCTTCACCGGTACTCACCGGACATCGTGCGGCCGCGGAGCCACTGCCGAGCGGGGCGGAGACCGAGCTCTGCCGCCCGCCTCGCCTGCTTCCCCGGGCTGGTAAATCACCAAATGGGATTAGCCTCGTTCCCGCTGAAAACAGTGGGAGGTGAATTACGCTCGCGCGGACTCCTGTGCGCAGGGGCGGAAAACCGGCATTAACGGCAGGGTTGGCACGACGCGACCCTCCCCAGTTTTCACGCGGGGGAGTCGCTCCCTTCTCGGCCCCGAGGAGCGCGGAGCCCCGCACCTGCCGCCCACCTGGGCCTCCCGCTGCCCCCCACTCGTGGCTGTAGCGCTATGGCGCCGCCTGACGGCGCGGCGCGATGAAATGTGACGCTGTGCTCTCTCGTCGTTGCCCCATAGCCTGGCCCTCCTCTCACCTCGGCCGGGCCGGTGGCTGTCGTAGTGGACAGCAGGTTGGCCGTGAGCCAGAAAGCTGAAGGGAGACCGGGGACAGTTAGAGGCCAGGCTCTTCTCGGTGGTTTCTAGCGATAGGACAAGGAGCAGCATCCTAAAGCTTGAACATAAGAAGTTCGGTACTAACATGCAAAAGAACTTCTCCACTGTGAGGGTGATGGAGCACTGGAACGGGCTGCCCAGAGAGGTTGTGGATTCTCCTTCACTGGAGATATTCAGGACCCACCTGGATGCCTACCTGTGCAACTCGATGATCCCCAGAGGTCCCTTCCAACCCCTACAACTCTGTGATTCTGTGGTCCGGAGCTCTAACAGCTACTTTGTTTTCCTTCCTTCCCCTTCAGACTTAAACATATTCCCTATATAAATACCCAGTTATGCCAGTTAGAAGCAAAATTAGCACTGAAAGCAGTGCCTGCACACTGCTGTGTTGATGTCATTAGATGGAGAACTTGAGAAAGTTAAACACTTGGTGGGAGTTCCGACTAATTCAAGTTCAAATTCTCCATTAAAAAAAAAATAAATCTGTCTCTTCACTTACAATAATAATAACAGAAACCATTTCAACTGAATAAGAAATTGTTTAGGAAAAACTGAGAACAAATTTAAATAATTTGTAGTAGCATTTTAAAAGAAAAAAATCTTTATGCTCTTAAAACTGCACATAAATCCTTCTTGAACACTGATCCTGAACAAGAGATACACAAGATGCTTCCTTTTTCTTTTTTTTCTTTCCTCTAATAGCAGCTTAGACATTCAAGGTACCAGCCAGCCAGCATACATTCCATAAAATAACTCACAAAACGAGCAAACTTCATTTCATTGTAGGTAAAACAGAGTATGTGTTTATTGAATATTTTCAAGAGAAAGAACGAGCATGGATATTTTTATTGTTAAACAAGCAATGGAGGTGGTAACCACAAAAAGCTTTAAAATCTACCTGACAAAACATACAGTGACTTTCATAAATATTAACATGAGAAGTTTGTATCTTTAAAGAAAAAGCACGTGTCCTGGAAAACTATTAAAATATATTATTGATGATAAGTTGAAAGCGGTAGCCACAAAGCTGCTCGTTATCTTTGCATGTTGTCAAAGTGTTTCCATGTTTGAACTGATGTACGTGATAACTTCTTACATTCAGGATCAAAATAAAGATATGAAATATCCATGTCAAATATCACGGAGATAGAATAGTATTTTATGAAGTGTTCCTGTCCAGACGATGTCTTTCTCTCAACAATTCAACAAACACGACAAACACCTACGTCCATCTGCATGCAAATTTG